AGATAGATAGATAGATAGATAGATAGATATATATATAGATAGATAGATAGATAGATCGGAACGGACGGTCGACGGACGGACAGACAGACTGCCGGACAGAGGACGGACTAACGGACGAACCGGCGAGCAAACAAGTAGACAGAGACACAGGCAGCAAAGAGGCAGAAAGTCAACGAGAGAGAGGGGGGAGAGTAGAAACAGACCAAGCAAAGCGAGAGAGCGATGAGAGAATAAGCGAGATGGAGAGAACAAAAGAGAAAGAGCGAGAACCACTCATACACTCGCGTGCAATCATACACAAAAACCAGCCATCTTGTCTCATCTTTCCCCCATCTCTTTATTTCCCTCCCATTTCTCTCTACCTGTCTATTTTTTCTCTTTTTTTTTTCTTTCTCACTTTCGTTCCTCCTACCTACATGCACATTCGCGTGTGATACTGTGCACACGCTTACACACGCACCAACATGTTCTGTTTGCATCTATGATAAATACGACATACGCATATACGCTCTCCTATGACACTATTTGTCATAGGAAGATTCTTCCTATGACAAATATTGGCGAGTCAACTTCGTTCCGCTTTACAGCTCAAATTCACTGCTTGCGTTCATAATAGTGCTCCTAAACTCCTATGATGCGCACAACACATACAACAATATTTGTCATAGAAAGAATAGTGTCATAGGAGAGCGTATATTATGCGTATGTAGTATTTGTCATAGATGCTAGCAGAACAGGCTGCACGCACAGAGCGACAAGAAAAATCACTGCGCGCCTCTGCATATATACGAATCATACAATTCCGTCTGAGAACTGCCGGCGTGTAATTCTTACTATCGTAAAACCTCTTACCTCTCTCTAGTATTCGTGGAACTTAAAATCGCAGCATATTAAACCGGATTTGCGTCTGCCACCGGCACCGGGCATCAAGTAAACAGCCATTATTATTATAACTGCACGAGTTAAATCGCAAGGATTCTTAGGCAAGTAACTACTTGCGTTTAGAACCAAGGAGAAAGGGAAAGAGCGGACGTGCACGCTAACGTGTGAAATCTGTAATATACAGCCAAGGGCTGTATACGTGCGACGAGTACCACACACTGGAGTTTGCGGTAATACTTAACCTAATATTCCTCGCAGCCACATTGTAGCGCAGCCAAATTAATGTTGCCCGCTGAGCGGTGCTGCCATCTATCTTAAACACGTTATCGCCACCAATAGCAGCCGATGCCACTTGTGAAAATATTTGGTTCTTGTTCCTCATACTGATCACGGTTGTTATATGGCACGAGCATGCTCAACTTCATGCAATAATTGGTAGAGATTCCCACGTATGTATACTGACACGTATTATTTTATTTTTTTTTTAAATATATTGAACATAAACACGAACATGCGCAGGCCCATAGCCTGTGGGGGGAGCAAGGGGACTTCATCGTTACACATTTGAGTCATGAAATGTTGCCCCCCCTCTAGGAATTTGTTCGGCTTACGGTCCTCTGATGCGTACGCCGGAAAGCAAAAGCGCCGGCTGTACACACCACCTGCGCTCAAAATACCCGGATTTTGTGGAACTTCGTATAGTTCCCGCCGCGGGAGAAGAATTAAATTAGCATTTCTATTCTAGGCAAACATATAGTGACTCTTACAGTCAGTGCAGTTTGGACGCAATTTTGCTCAATAAAGTCCGAACCAAATCCCATACGCTTTTTCTAACCATAGTGCCCGTTTAAAGTAAGAAGAGTGCTCGCGAATTTGTGCCCACGAGTCAAACACAGTGCGAACTAGAGCAGACGAGCACCACCTAGCGGCGGTGATTTACCGTCACCAACGTTTACTTGTTTGTGATATTCACGCGCGTGACATATGCACAAAAGAAAAGAAACCAGTGTCGTTTCTTATACGCTTTATTTTAACTGCAGCGACTCACGATGAATGTCCGCTTTGCATCGTCGTGTCGTCGTCTGTAAATATTGACAAGTGGTCTAGTCTCTCTTGTTTAGTCTGGACACGTCGTCAAACGACATGTGCTTATTGTATACGCTTGACCAAATACCCTATATACTGGTAGTTTAGTATATAGGGTCTTTGACTTGACCACCCTACCTCCCCGAAAAACGTTCTTGGTAATATAGTATCTTTTGCTGCGCGAACGTATGTACAATATTATGTGATTTCAGTTGACGTCCTACACTCCGTATTATTTTCAGAACCATTCCAACTCTTTATTTTAAAGCCAGACATTGCCTCGAGGTTCTCCTGTGTGTAAAAATCTGTCACTATATATGTAACGTTAAATTAAAGTTTTTTGAATAAATGATATAGAAGGAATCCAAAACTTGTGTATTAAACGGAATAACCTTTCATAACTTGCACACAATAACAAAGCAACGCGCACACGCACATAAGCGCGTGCGCTTTCTCCCGCGACCACCACCAGCCTTTTCCACTCCTACATCTCTTTCCTATATATTTCCCCAAAACCCCTACATTCTGAGCGCACATGTACCCGTTCTCCCAACCGCGTCCTACCCCTATTTCACAATGACCCTAGAATCGCCCGACCTAAAACACGTTTACCATTCTCCCCACAACATCAATCCAGCCGCACAAGATGCGCGACGCTCTACGTCTACACAGACCACCACCAAAACAACCCCCAGCCCAGCCTCGCTGACTAATTCATGCAACACCTGAAAAACACATGTTACATATAGAAAGATCGGTAGCAGGGGAATTCGAGGCGACATTTTTGGGCAAGAAAATTGCATTCCACACGAAGGAATACGCTGCGAACACTGCCTGATAATGTGAGTCCATCTAAGCTAGGAATCGGCTTATAGTTTCTTTTGCGTAGTTCTACGTAATCGAACGTGGTCCATTCGCCAAGTCCCAGGCTTTCTGAGAGCGTATCGCCTCTGTTTGTGACAACAGGCGTGCTGGCTGCAGGCGCATTAAACACACTTGGACGAGTTTAGCATGTTCTGAACGCAGACATTGTTATTGATATCAATTGCATACGTCACGTAGCTTGCTGGATTTATCGTGAGCGGTAAATTAAATCACGCAATATCGCTGCGAGATGCCAGGCACACTAAGCGTCAATAGTGCGCGAGTCGTACAGTTATTTAAATATATGTTTAAATAATTTCACGACTTGCGCTATATCATTACACGCATGTTTTGTGCAACGATAAATGTTTAAAATTAACAACTCGCCTTGTCAACAATAGAATCTTAAAAAAACGAATATCACATTATCATTACGATAAGTAAATATGTTTGTACCTTGTCGTTGCATTCTAGTAAGTTCGGCATAGGCGCATCTGTGAATAATTCCGGAATGCATGAGACGCAATGTAATATCGCGCTTCAACCTCACTCGTATCCTTCGATATTAATGTTGCACGCGCCTTGTAATTAATTGAAGATTTAATTGGGAGACTACACGGGATGCTGTATCTACGAAACATTTATCTCGGGTTGGATCTCGTAATAGCTCTCCCGCTTATCTTTAATGTAACAGCCACGCGTTTGTTGGCATTGGGTAAAAACGCGAATCTGTTCTCTCTAATGAAAATTGGTATGGGCCTTCGTGCCCATGCTCCCAAAATGTAAGCGAGAGATTACTCCCAATCGATTTAAATTCGTGCCGTGTCATAGACTGCTATCAATAATGGCTAATGCAAGTGTTGCTCGTATAACAGCAGCAGTTCTACCGTTTTTTCTCTCTGTCTTTCCTGCGTGGCGCATCAATGGCGGCGGATGACAGGCATGCGCGATAGACAACCATCACTACTGACATTCCTTAAGATAATTTCTTATAGATTATTTAATTTAATTAACATTCGTAAATACAAAGCACTTTCTGAGAAGACGCTTCGTCCGCGGTTCTTTTATTGCGGGTGTAAATTAGGATAAGCAGATTACTTCTATCAGGATGCGTGCATTAAATTATTATAATTAGTCGAGCTAATCTAACAAGGTTTACAAAATATGCGGAAGTTTTTGTTTCGTGGAACGCGAAGCAGGTAGAAGCGAGAGTAATGGATTATTATTTATGTAAAATGGAATTCACGGAGACTGATAACTGTCAGCATCATCTTTCTCATCACTCTATCACCCATGCGAGTCAGGTACGAAGTTGCTGAATTGCTGCGAGACAACAAGCTGCGAGATGACAACTCAATGAATGGTTTTCTAACTGTCCTAGCAGGTGAATTAGTGTCAAAGTCATGTTTTATTATCGTCCACGTCGATCACCATGCACGTGCACCTTTTGTTCAGGTATATCCCTAATCAGCATACAAGGCCGCGCAAAATGTGTGATAGTGAAGCATCTGGCATGCAGATATACCAATATATACATGGGTTCTATTCGTATGTTGAGTGAACTCTTGTGTCATATTTTAGATGAGTGATATTCATTAGTTTGTTCCCTTTGATCCACGTCGCATGCGCGTACCAAGATTTACGATTACGTATGGAATTCCGTATATCTGATTATCTAATAGTCATGCAGCAAATATATATCTACTCGACTAAGCACAGCTGCTATACTTGTCGAATAGTGATATTTTTGAACTGGGAAGTCGCACGTGGAACAGCGACATGTCGCACCCGGCAGTTAGATGCGATATGATATGACTACTAGGCACTTAGGATATGAGTGTTTAAATAAAAACCTAACCCTAACCCTAACCTAACCTAAACCCTAAACCTAACCTAAACCCTAACCCTAACCCTAAAAAAAAACAACATTAAATTAAATTAAAGTGCCTAGTAGTCATATCATATCGCATCTAACTGCCGGTTGCGACATGACATGTCGTGATGGCGGCCATCTTGGGACGTTCGGTGATTGGTGGAGCGCGTCATGAAAGCTTACCTCGATGAGAGAGTAGACTTTCGCCATCACTGAAGGGTTGACGTGGTCGCAGTTCTTGCCCTCTGAGCGCTTTCCCCACGCCCAGTCAGACGTGAACTGGTTCTGTGCCGAACAGGATGAGATTATCTGAAGCACTACAAGCGACAGCAGCATCGTGGCGCAGATTGTCTTATTCATTCCTGTTGAAAAAACAAACATCAACGAACGACAATGAGAAACAGTTTCTTACGCAAAACGCGTGAACGTTCAGTTTAGGCTATACATTCTTGGACTGACTGAAATACGAAATACGATATAGCGAAATGCGTGACTTTAATATATTAAAGAGAGCGATATTCCTTGTACATAGTAATTTGTGCGATAGTGCTAGATAGGATGAATTGGCGAGATAAACATATTGATTACACGCACGTTCTTGGATAGTATTAATCGAACCAACATATAACGAGAAATACGTCCAGTTTTATTTTTTGCGAACGCATGATTGCGAATAGGTTCAGCGAAAAAACTTGTTACAATACAATACAATACACTTATATAACTTATACAACTTATATAAATGCTAAACTGCTAACTTATTACCCACAAACACGCCAAAACGTTTTGAATTTCAGAAAAAAATGTAGACGACTAGAGAGATGCCTCTTCAGATATATTGGCGAAAATTATTTGCTAGATCTCGCATATTAGGAGCGGGAACTACCAACCATTTTTTTCGAAATTTTTGACTGCCTGAATGATGAGCAGTTGTGAATTACTGATGAATGAAACAGTTCTGTATAACTTATGAATCACTGGCCTTGTTTCCGTGTCACGCATGCGCACTACAAAACGTAATTGCGCACAGAACAATATGTCATTAGCTCGCTCGCATAGATTGCTTGCAACATTACCGTCAGCTGTTCGGTCAGTGCGAAAACTAGCTGATGTCGAAGGAGTAATATAAGAGTGTATTAGTTTACTCGGCAAAAGTAAATTGCTACCTGAGTTTATAAACTGAGGAAACTAACCCCGCGAGAAACAAAGTAGAGCGACATAGGTGGTACCCGAATGCAGTAAGAAAGATGACAATCAAGGTCAGTAACGAGGGAGCGAACCCAGAGAAAAAATGAGGAAAGTATAACCAAAGACATGCAACTACAAAGACTAACAAGTTATGCAACTCGCCCTTGCAGATATGAGATGGCGAGACTGGGTCTAACGAGCGGTGGCGGTCTCTGTTCCGCTTTCGCACTTTCGGAAGTTCAGATTCGGCGAAGATATACTGCGGAAATCATGCCACTATTCCCTTTTTGTCAGAAGTTTTATCTCGCTCCGGCCATGCAGTTGAGTTGCTGTTTCGGTTCATTACTAATTCAACGTGCTTGCAATCTAATGAAATCATCATAATCGTCGCGATCCTTCTACAAAGACATCTCCGCCCAAAAAGCGAGTTTTCTCGTTCTATTTGCAATCGTTTGGCGAGGCCGCTTGCTTTGTACGACGTGAGCAAAAGGAGATAATGCATTATGCAGCAGAGCAGGGGCGGGGTGTTGGCATGCGCATTATTGCTCGCTGCTCATCACTCGAGGCCGCCACTCTTTCTCTTTCTCACACACACACGCGCACACGCACGCACGCACGCACGCACGCACGCACGCTTACACACACACACACACACACACACACACACACACACACACACACACACACACACACACGCGACATTGTAATGTCCTGTGTCTTCCCAGTTTTTATATTCTCAATTTAATCTCGTCCATGAATGTTTATCTATCTGGAAAGCAATAGATTCTTGCGTACACCAGCGATTGATGGTATATACGGATATCAAGAGCCTACCCTAGGGTTTATATGCTTCTTAATATTATGATTATGTGGAATTGAGCATTGACGTTTAATTCGAACATAAATAGATTAGCGTGTGTACAATAATATATATTTAACTTATAGCTAACTATATACTAACATACTAACTATAATATATACTATATATATATATATATATATAATATATATATATATATATATATATATATATATTATATATATTTGCTTTACATGGCAGGCAAAAACATACTGCATTGTAAATCGTGCATATCATGTCACGTACTATCAATAGGACTATATAGTCTATTATAGACTCTTGGTAATATGAAATGTAAAAAACATATAATGCCAACTAAACATCACTGATGTCCGCTGGCGGGAGGCGCTGCCGAAGCTGCTACTGGGCTGGTGTCTCGCTATCGATGGCCAATGTCATACGAGACGCTCTGCGTTTGGTGAAATAACTTGGGCGAGGCCAGTATATCACATCTCAATATATATGTATATATATATATATATCATATATATATATATACTATATAATATATATATATATATGTGTGTGTGTGTGTGTGGTGTGTGTGTGTGTGTGCGTGCGTGCGTGCGTGCGTGCGTGAGTGGCGTGGCGTTTTCGCGTGCGGCGCGCGCGCGCGCGCGCGTGTGTGGTGGTGTGTGTGTGTGTGTGTGTGTGTGTGTGTGTGTGTGTGTGTGCGTGCGCATAGCATGTTGAGCGCATGTGCAGTATGAGCACAGGTAATTTAGATACTATTACATTCTACTAATACATATATGTCGGCATTTAAAGCAGCCGTCTGCCGACTATGTGCCAGCTATGACTGTCTACCAAATGACAGATCGACTGTCTTTCAACTTTATCTAAATATTTGATACCCCACAGATCGCAAAATTTAATCCTACGTTCAACTAAACCGGACAAGGACCAAGCCAAGGACGCGCTAAATCGATGCATAATATAGCAGACGCAAAACACTTTATCGGATCAGAACCAGGAAGTTACGCTGCGCATGCTCCGATAAGCGATTACGTCACACATCACGGACAACGCAGCAAAGAGCGCTTCATATAGCGGGCCTGGCCCACCTCAGTATTTTTCTTTGGGGAGAGGGCTAACCTAATTCAAACTAATGCCGATTCAGTCCGGGATAGCGTGTATACGGTACCCTGTGAAAATTAGACCGGATCTGGCCGGGACTAGTTTGAAGTAGGATCAGACTTGCAGTTTATACGGGGTCGTTGTTACAAACATGTCCTCTCCGGCACCGGCTGGCTTATACCGGTAAATAGGTAAACCCCTATTTTCGTAACGGTATTTCAGCAATGATAAACTGGTGTGAGAAACAGTGTGCTGTGTGCGGTGTTGGTGTATTTATTCGCGCAACATATTTCTGTTTCTAATTATAATCTTGCCAGTTCATATTCACTTAAATGTTGTCGGTACATCGGCTTACTCGTGGCTGGGCTGTGTTTTGTCATGAAAAACCACCATATCATTATCTTATATAAACTTAATTTCCCTTAAGCTGTAATCGTAAAGACGAGTTGTCATCGCAGCCGAGCTTTGTAGAGTTATCACGTCACTCTATTTTGAAAGGGTTTGTCATTCACCAAGCCTGTTCCCCGAATTCCGATCGTAATAATGATTGCAGCCATATCTAATGCACGATCATTGTTCGTGTGTATCACTATTTCGTGTAAAAGAGTGTGCGGAACACTAGCACCGCCTGATTTAATAAATTCTAGATACGGATTCGACGAAGAAGTAATGTAAAAGAGTGCATCCTCTGTCGAATAGTGATATACTCGGCATGAACATATATAACATGTCTGTTGATGTATGTATTGATTTAACATGAAGGTAATCGGTCCGTAATAATTTTTATGTTTATATCTATGTGTCGGATATATCTGCAGCACAGGCCGAACTGTAAACCATGTTACGATATTACAAGCTCTAAACGAGATCGCTTAGATTTGCATATTACATTTCATATTTCGTCATAATAAAGCTTCCCGCGTTATCGCTCAGTCTCCTTTTAACAATATCGATATAATACACGTTGAATTTTAATGACAATCAGTAGAGTTCACCTGATTCTTGACTAATAATGTACGCATAAAATTGAATTTTCATAAGTAATAAAGAAGTCTTGTACGCGCGTGAGCTGAGTAAATTTCTGTAATATAATTAAACCACACCCAGGCAATATGCACGTGGCTTTAATGTGCCTATACATAATATGCATACAGATGCTTTCGCTTGCACATGCGTAGATGCTGTGCACGCGGCTGCCAAGTTCGGGGACGCGGAACTGATATCCTCGATATTTTATACACATATAAACCGAGCAAGATATAATTGCTCGCTTCATCATTTATTTACGCGATCGTCGGTAAGTATTTCTCATCGCCGCCTCGCCTGCACAAGTGTAATGTCACGAAATGCGATTTTATATGCGTTCTAGCACGTCACTATCTGCCAGTTAATTGACTGCCGTCTATAGCTGATGACGGTCGAGTGCATACGGGTAAACAGCTGCAAAGCGGAGCCTCGGGGGCACCATTATATTAGGCCGTCCATCTGCCCTATCTGCACATTTTCGTATATCGTACGGCGTGACCTCCAGCTACTGGTCCATTAGCTAAGCGACGCGCCAAATGTCGAGCACTTAATCTCCGTGACTCTTGAAAAGTTAGAACTTACTGCGCGCTTAGCTAATATATATATATATATATATATATATATATATATATTTAATTATGTACATTAACTCTGCATCTGCTGTTTTTAGTCTGCACCTGCTGTGGCGCATTGCGACCTTTGATTGGCGGAAATGCGTCGGCATGTAAGAAACAGTGAATGCTGCAAATTATGCAGTGAGCCGTTCAAGAGCTACATGCTATTTCAAATTACGGTTACTGGTTTGCGATTGTAAACATTTTTCAAATGAAACTTCACGCGAAACCGACACGATGCGTTATCGCGTAAATTACGAGGCTTCGCGTTAAATAAAGAGTAATTTCCTAACGTTTCGTATGGATTTAAATATTAAATTTCGCCAAAGGGAATAGACGAATCCGCGAGAGCATCCTCTACATACGGGGTTCGGCCGAGTCATAATTTCCACGACAACCGCATTTCCTTTTTATTAGCTTGCATGCTATATACACATCGGAATATGAAATCTCTAAACAAAGGCGGCGCGCCTTCAGTGAAGCTCACCGTACGCCGTCAGAGTGCGCATGACATCCACGCACAACAGATTCCAGCTGACTATGGAGATATTACTTAACGTTTGTGATGGTTTCAGCCTCCTCTTGACGCTGTGTATATCTTGACACTCAACAATGCGTCTGCGACAACGAGGTGGATTCAAGCAGTCCGTTGTGTCGAGCAGTCATTCTCAGCAGAAAAATGTAGAGTTTACATGCGACGTTTTGAGAAATCCTCGAGTCTCTTACATTTCAGTCATTGAGTTATAGCTGTATTGCTAAAGGCTGCTTAATAACACGAGGAAACAATAAGGAAACTGAAGAGAAAACTTTATTAAATACCGATTCGTTTGACCGGTTGTATGAATTTCATCGCTGTAAGATGACAGATATTTCTAAAGCAAATGCATGATTTGATTACATTGAGAGTTCGGCACTTATCTCTAACCAAGGAAGCTTGACAGAACCCGCGTGCATTCACAGAGTGTAGCGATCAATGCAGGCTCATGATTATTTTCGCACGTTTTGAAGGCAATAGTTCTAAATCCTACGATGTCAAGCAGAAAGATTAGCGAGATAATACACATTCGTCGCATACGTTAGCATACTGGACGCGAAGAATCAAGACCACGACTGTCGCTTACCTGCACAACAAACCACAATAGTAGGTGCTGGTAATTACAAATAGTTACGTCATGAGCAACGCACAACCTGAAATTACTCCTCCGCGTGTCACCGATGCTGATGCTATTATTAATTCATTAGGAATTATTTCTTACGTACACGGAAATGTACCCCCCCCCCCGTGTACACACGCGCACAACATGCTGATATATATATATATATATGATGCGGATCATTGTGTTATAGTACGTACGTTATTACATCGATTATGCCTAATTACAAGCGTCGGCATAATTGTAACTATATTCGCAATAATACTAATGGCCATGGTAATTACTAAAGGCCCTCACGATTGACCTACATGTACGTATCTCTGTGTGTATAATATGCAGCGCTGTGTAATTAAAAGCTAATTATTTGCTATATCGTCAAAACACGTTCTCAGTTGCAGAAGCTTTTCGGTCATTAATGGTATAATAATTTGCTATTGCGTGCATATTAACTGGATGTCAGTTAGCCTGATATAACATTACTTAAATACGTAAAGCCTGGTATAAACTTACAGACAGCTATTTGATATTGTATTTCCGCTACTTTTGCGCGAATATCTGCAGCAAATGTGTAATAAATATTTCACATGTAATCAAACTCTCTAGCTATACGATTTTTGAAATGAGTTAGTTAGTATGCTCTACATTCCGAATGCCTATATCGATCTCACATCTATTCCAATCCCTTACCCGCTTGTGAACAATTGCTTTCGTTGCAGTATCAATATGAAATTAAATATATAAACAAATAAATATATATATATAATATATATTCGCGTTTCATATTCACGCGCACTACTTTAGCAAGGAAATTCAACCTATTTCATTGCATAAACAGGATGAAGTAGCCACTCTTTTATGATGATATTATTCAATATTCCATGAAATCTAATAGAACAAAATGGTAAAGTGTTCGCCAAAGAAGTGTGATATTAAGCTAGCCATTAGTCTGCGATAGAGCTGAAGCTAGCGTTCTTGTCCGCTAAAACACTACATACATGTCTAATGTACTGCATTTACAAATATATATGAATGAAGAAGATATAGGATGCACTTTACTTTCTCTTCGGTATCTAATTTAATGTCAGTAAGATATGACACTGCGGAAATTCCGAGGCTGAGTGTCATCGAAACATTTGTCCGGAAATAAAGCAATTAGAAAACCCTCACTACTTCATTCGTTTAAATCACAACATAAATGTTTAAAACCTCTTTACCTCGGAATGTTCATCATCTCATCGTATAATATGTACATTACTACACAATCACAACAAAATATACCAGAAGTAGCAAATTGCTATGAAATACAGAGATATATACACATACGGTATCATGCAGAAACGCTACACAGAGAACGGTATTGACATGTCAAATTCGGTTACATGGACTGAACGTATTCTTAATATCAGTTTGCGCGCACCTAATACAATCCTGCACTGCGTATATTTAGCTATAACGGTTGATTTCGTGACGATATTAAAATGCCTTCCAATTATTATCAACATTATAGTAATATTATTATTGTTAATAGAAACAACAAAAACAACAACAACAACAATAATAATAATAATAATAATAATATTAATAATAATAATAATTGTAATAATAATAGAAAGAAAACAGTAAGGAAACTAGCAGTAAGTACTGCGGTCGGTCTGTGAAATTGATCTTCTATTAATGTTACAGATAACAGAAAGAAAAAGAATAGACAAGTTTGATATTGGCCACAGATCATGGAATTCATTATAGCCAAAGGCCGCGTGCAATCTTTGTATTAAAGGTATTAAAAGGTATTCTGGTTTCAGCGGTAGACCTAGTCGGGTTTACATTTCATATCGCTTTGATGTTAATTAAGCTACACGTTTACGGATAACGATGGCCTGAACGTATACCGAATCGTTCACGTTGCCGATTCTTGAAAAGTACGGTAGTCAAGGTATACATATACGAAGGCTACTTACTGTATAGGAGTCTTCTTCTTGCAGGCGATAAAAGCTGTGGAATGATGGCGTGTTGCTACTAGTGCTTCCTTCTTCAAACAAAACGACTTTGAGACCTTCGTCGGTTGACTCGTACCTTTATATAGTGCAGTGACCACCCATTGATGAAAACGGGTGCGTACGCGGCTGCGCATGCGCACATCCACCACGCATCGACGTAGAAACCTAGCCGCCCAGCCATAAACACACACACACACACACACAGACACGAGCACGCACCCGCACACACACACGCACATACGCACGCACGGACGGACGCACGCACACACTCACACACACGCACACACATGTGCGTGCACATGTCAGCTGCCACCAATGTACCGATGCGCAGAGAACACAGGACAAACCACGGAGATGGCAAGCAGCTACATCCTACCTCTTAGGCGTTTGTGTAGCATGAATTGCGGTCTAAGTGTTTGTCATCAAAATGAAAGCAACTTTGAGTATACGCGAGGGACATACCGTAGAGAACGGTAATTGCAAACGCTCACGCGTGGTTATACAGCCCAGCGCAGACACATACACACACCGAGAGAGAGAGAGAGAGAGAGAGAGAGAGAGAGAGCGCGCGAGAGAGAGAGAGAGAGAGAGAGA